GCAAATGTATCTGTCACCTGTACGAATGAAAATTATTGTAAAACAGTGGATATTTTTCTACGGTCAAATTATGCATAATCACGAAGGTTCGGTAGACTAGTATTAATACCAAGCAGTGACTGAAGGTGTAATGGAAATTTGACCGCAGCCGGATTCCAACCAGCGAACACTGGTGCTTTATCAACCAAGCTATTTGTCCTGAATTCTAACCAAATTTTTATTTCACTTCACTTTATTTTGACTACCGCGTTAATACTGCTTGATTGTACTCACACTGTCTGACCAATCAGGATTTCTCATCCTAATCCAAATGTAACTGAAGTAGGAAGGAGGAGCATCATATTGATCTGAGATAGCCGTAGTTTGGTAGACTAGTATCGATACTGGGTAGTAATTGAAGGTTAAATAAAAATTTGGATTGCAGCTGGATTCGAACGGCTTTTGAAATGAAATCGATTAAAACAAATACATCGCTGAACTACACTTTGTTTCTCAAGTGTTTGATGTCGGTAGTTGTCTTTAAAAGTTCTGATCAATGGGAAGTGCTTTATTCAATGACACTGTGATGAGCTTAAGATTTAGAAAATAATTTTGTCATTTTTATTCCTCAACAATTTTCGATAAGATGTAGAATTTTGTGTCGAAATTTGAGAAATCCAAGGATGACTATGCAATGATGATCATTACATTTGTCCAGAGTTGGCAGTTATAGTTGTAAAATTTACAATTACCCAACAGCAAAAAGAAATCGCATTTATAAAAATTAGTATCCTCATCCCGTAGATCTTATTATTATTATTTGTCCCCTGGGTTCCTAGGAGAACACATGGCTTCAGTCATCCTGTGGATTACTATCTGGGAATTAAATAGCTGAAACGAATAAATGTTAGAGAGTATATTCTTTTTCAAACAGGGCCTAGAACGAACAGACTGATACGTAATTGGTCAGCGTTTTCCATGTAAAATATGGTCTGAATTGTCATCTTTAACCTTGACCGAAAATAGTGTCACTGGGATTCTATTTGTCTATTACTAACCAGTGTCTGAGACGACAATTTTTCCATGTTAAACTTGGCGTTTGTTGGCTCAGTTATATTCGCAGCCAGCTATTGTCTTTTCACGGAGCAGTAAATCTTGTGTTGCCATTTTAGTCTCTTGTGTCTTTACGTAGTGTGTAGGCAGTATTTCCAGTAATCAGTATCCATTATTGTGTCAGTGTTGCTGGTGTATAATGATAGTTCGTAATTCATAGCCATTCAATTAGGAGAAATCCTACAAATTCTAGTAATTATTCAGTAATAACATACCTGCTCAGGATACAATGCGTTTTCGAGTTCATTAACATCCTAAATTTAACTTGTGAAGGATGATTTATGCATGACGTTTTCTGCTGAACTAGCAGGCGGCATATACTAGGATTTCTGTGACTACAAAAGTCAGTTAGCTGCCTCTTGGCACTTACTAGTTAGTATGCAGAAAGAGTGACTCAAAACACTTACCGTCAACACTATTCTCAACTCTATTATTTCTGCATCAACAATACCACCTGGACTGATCTGATTCATTATTACTATCATAATCATCACCACCGTCATTACTACCACCCATTTCCACTATATTCCGGTAAATCAATGCGGAGAAAATCCACTAACATTATTCACCACTCTATTCCAACTGAAATTACAAACATATCCGCCTCATTCTTTTCAATTTGTACTCATAAAATTACCGAATGACTATAATGTCACCTGTGACCTTTTTGTCTGATATTAACAATTAAGACCAATATGAATTGGAGAAGATATATAGCATACACATATAACACACATACACACACCCACACGCCATACAACAAAAGACATACAATTTTTCACTGAAGGATTAGTTACCATAATCTAGAAAGATAATGACTATGCGAAGAGGATTGAACAAGGGGAATAAATATACCTTTTTGGATTCGTTTATATATCCTTGATATTTTAATTTTGATTATTTCCCTGAAGAAGCCGGGACCAGACTTCCATGCGAGACGATGGAATTATTTGATTTCAAACCCGCTGTAACTTATACAAATATCATCTATATCTAAGTGTAATATTACGTTTGGAGGGGACAGATTATCCGAAAGGATTCTTTGGGGAAATTCCCATCTTTGTTTTATATCAAACTAACTCATGATTAAGAGTAAGAGAAGTGTCTGAATCACTTACTTTTCAGTCGTTAGCCAGCTGCATCAGAGCAGCATTCTCCTCTGCAACTTCGAAAACAAAAGTTATTCAAATCTGCCTTATTTTAAGCGTAAGTGCAGTAATTTTTATCGCTTTAAATCTTAGTGAAATAGGCTCTAGATGAATATTTGTGTCATGACTATTCGAGTTCTTTTTTATTCATCCGAAAATATATTCTCGGTTAAGTCTTGTAAAAATAGTCAGTTAAAAGCATAGCAAAAGGTACTGACACGGATGCTGGTGAAAGTTTTCCACTTGTGAGAATGGGTTACAAGCCTTGTTGCCGACTAAAAAAATTCACAAATATCTCTGTTAGCGAATCATCTGAATGACAAAGTAGTAATAAAATAGTGACTTATAAATAATTCGTTTACAAAATAAATATTACTAGGTGTTAGATAAATCAGTTGTCCGAAACTCTTAAGTTTTCCGGAACATTTCTAAATATTATTGAATAAAACAGATTTACTTCTTTGCGCTTAGGTTTTACTTACAACTTTGGAGCATACTTAAGTTTTCGAGTATGATAAGTTTCACTCTTATTGCATAAGCTCCCTTTATATTCTTGTATAAGTAAACAAGACGCTAATAAGACAGTCTGTAGCGTCTTAAATGGCTTCTGTCCAGTAGAAAATCTCTGTATGGGGTTGTACTGGTAGTTATATTACATAGCCCTGATAAATATTTCTCACCTTACGTCTTATAACACATTTCAACAACTAGCTGTATTCTTCTCTGAATGAAATATTTGCATAATCCTACTGAGTTCTAAGTGATTTATCACATAACTGAAGTGTAATATGTGTAGCTCAAAGAAAGATATATCATGATAGGGTTTTCCTAAAAGTTCTACACAATTCTGAATGATTAGTTATTCAGAACTGTATTCCGTATGAAACAGACTTCAGTTTTTCACTTTGTGAATCAGGTTTCATGGAAAAGTAATTTATTCAAAATGTTCTATTTGATGAAATACATTTCAAAATCAACAATCAGTCTCTGCTTGTAAACTATTTTATATTCATTAGTTGGCACTTACAAAATTAATTCAATTTCGGATGAAACAGTCTTCATTTCATGTCACTATGGAGTTGTTTAAACTTATAAAACCTGCAAACGAAGTACACTTGTAAAATAGCTTTCTGGTGTTCCGCGAACTCGTGAAAACCGCTGCTTTAGAGATCCTTTGAATATACAGAATAATAAATGGTGATCACACTGTCACGAATTGACATGACCACCGAAATGTCTATTATTGAACTTTTTTTTAGCAAGTATATTGCAGTACTTGTCATTATGTCTGAAGCAACATAAACAATTTCCTATATATCTAGGGGGACCAACTGCAGGAAATCTAATCACAACAAGATTGCTTCTTTTCGCTTTATGGGTATAGATATATTTTTGACTCATGTTGTTTCATGAACCTTTGGAAGTATTTTAAAGTTTCAAGCTAATATTTGAGAAGTTTAAATTTCTAAGCATTTAGCAGTGATCTTTGACCTATACCACCAGGATACCAGAAATCCAGATCAGTAATAGTTCGTTGGAGGATCAGTTATATCTCCACCTAAAGTAACTAAGGCAACATCATCTTAAATGAGTCATATCCATGTATCATTACCAAAGTGCACCTTCTGAAGATGACATAAAAAAAGAATTTTTCGACTAATTATGATTTTATACTTTAGCAATGCACCATTAAGTATCCAAAGGGTTTCTTAACAAAAACTGTCGAAATTAAACACTTTGAAACCTTAAGACAACACTAAAGTACTTCACAATGAGATACTGGTTGCAAAAACAAAGGGACATCATTTTACTCTCGGGCGTTGCTATACAACCAGATAAAAATGGTTAAAATTACTGGGCAAAAGTGTATTACAGAAGTGAAAGGAGTTCAGATCAGAGATCGAATAAACTTCAAATACAAGAAATCTAGTGATATATATTCTTCACCTATCTTGATTCTTGCAAATCAAGACAAAACTAAACATTTCACGGTGTGACGGAAACAATATTGGGCAGCGTAATACTGTGACCAAAACCTCTGGTGTTATTTATATTTCCATTTTAGACCCTTGTGTCAGCCTTACCGTATCCAGGGAACTGCTGCTGCTGCTTGCAATACAGACTCTAAACGTATGTCATCTCTAAACTCTATTTAACGTTAAACGTGTCAATCTTGATCACATTTTAAAGGTAATGATATTATACCTGTAATATGTTATTTTGTTGTTAATAACAGTTGTTTTCGTTTGGAAAATAAGATCGTATGCAGGTGATTCATAAGAATGATAAAAGCTATGAAACGGATATCAGAAACAATTTATCTCTTGCCACTCATTTTCACTCATATCCTGTACAACACTTAGATTGCTGCTGACAGACAAATGTTATCAGTACATTAGTTGGAAATTTTTTTTCTAGAAAATTGAAATGACATGCTCCAGCTGATCAGAAATAATTGTTACTAGTGCTCAACGATATTTGTTTCCTGCAATTCTTTCCCTCTATAAACTCTGCAGTAGAACATAAGCTGAATATTGAGATTATTTTCCAGGAAATTTCATCGAACAAAATACTTATCATCAATACATGTGAAACACAGTCGAAATCATTTTGCATCAAAAAGTTGTCGCCAACAAACTGTTAAAGAATAGCCAATCAGATTTTAACTTTTGAGGGAAAATAATGAATTATAAGCAACCAATCAAAACTCTATGAACAAAGCATAAAATTAAGCTATATATTATACTGTTGATGCAAACCGCTTGATGTACATACTATCTACAACACACAGGCATTTCTTATGTCACTAACTCAACTATTAACTACCTAGTCAGAAGAAAAAGATATCGTGACATCATCGAAAATTCGCATACTCAAATTCATGCATTATAGTCTTATTTAGTATACATTATTTCTATGAATAATGAGTGTGGTTCGAATGAAGCATTTACTAATGATGAATATTATTCGATTATCCCTTCTGTATGTTGACAAAGTCTTCTGCATTTTATCCCTTCTAGAATTATATTTAGCACTTGTGCAAAACACACCTATACAGGAATTCCATAAATTATCCAGTAAACCCTTGCCCTCATCATTGTTCGCCAGTTCAGTTAGTCAAAATAATAATTTGAACCCCAATAATGGATTTAATGACTTATGGAAAGATAGTCCTACACCTGTAATTGGAAGAGTAATCTGGTGTGTAAATGAGTCAAAACAAAAGTGGTTGCATATTGAAAATCCAAACAATAATAATAGTGGTAACCAAAATATCAATAAAGGGATAGGATCTAGAAAACTGATTCTACTGAACTCTGGAAAATTCATTTGTCCTCAACCCAACCAAACTGAAGACATGAAATATTGTTGTGGACCTCTAGGGAAACAGGGATGCTGTAAAATAACAGACACGTAAGTGATTTTTAATGAATTCTTATAATTTTAATAATCGTGAAACATATTTGATTAGGATTATGATACTAAGTGACCAATATTAGCTGCAATCTCTCATGTAAATGTGCAATTTAAAAGGTAATGTCCACAAATTTTGTATGCACTGAAACTTGTAATTTATCCTAGTAATCATCGTTCAGGAAAATAATTTATGGCTTTTTTTTTTATAAAACTCATGCCATTTCACTAGTCTTTCCATTCAAACACATTATCAGTGAGGCAACAAAGTTAAAGTACTTTACCAATGAGTATCATCGTTTGAAATATACATTAGATAAATGGAATCTATTGCCAACAACTTAAGATTACATAGAATCTAGTGAAATTGTATCACTAAGCTTGCTTGTATGCATTGGATCGGTTCAGCAAGTAGGTTTATATTTCTTGAAATAAACTCTAACAATGAACTTGTGTTCTTTTTAGAGAAAACTTAATCTGTTGCATATTTATCTATTCCTAAGAATTTATCAGGTCATCATAAAGGAGGACTGATCTTTATACCAAATATAAGTCAACAAGAAATTTCCTTTATAGTATAATATAAAGTAGTTTTTGGTTTTAAAATAGTTTTCCGTGAATAACCGACTTCACTCATATCTGTAATATCTACATTACTCCAGGATCTATTTTCATCATTTATTTTCCTCTAAAAATTCTCCCTTATGAAGAAATAACAGGAGAACTGCCTTTGACTACAACTGACGTATATATCTGGCAATGTTATAGGAACAGATATTTTATGGAAACAATATTTTGGTCTTCTAAGCATGTTGTATTGCATAAATGAAAAGTAGCATGAAAAATGTCCTGCTCATAACGTATTGTCTTCTTCTTTTATTGGTAGAAAGATATCTTCAACACTTCATATTGTCTTAGTATTGACCTTTTCGGAGATTGGTTGATTTCAGGGTAATATTCACTATGGATTGATATTAATTGTAGAACTACTGAAAACCTGAAAGCAAAGGGTAGGTGTTTCAACGTAGAATGAAACTGATGAGCGGTACACACCAATAAACTCATCACCTTACGTTCTGGCGATAAGCATATCACCAATCTGCTAATGATTCAGAGTTCAATGTTCCGCATTTTTCTACTTCCATAGAAAGATTTCTCAAAGTTCTAATGAGAAGTCTTGACTTATAGGATTAGCCAAGTCGGAAGTTATGTGGATCTTCATTGATGAAACCGAACAATGATCGCACTGTATTATGAATTGAAAGAAGTAGAAAAATGAGGAACGCTAAGCTCTGACCCACTAGTAGATCGGTGATGAGCTTATCAGCAGAACGTAAGGTGATGAGTTCAATCAGTTTTGAGGTTATGGGTGTGTACTACTCAGTTTGTGATGAATATCAGGCTGATTTCATTTTATTGCTGATGAAAAAGATATGAATACTGCATTCAATTTAGGTAGGAGTCTATTGATAATGATCTCACAAAAATCAGTGTCTCCTGCATGTTAATTGGCCATTAAAAAGACGCATGATAATTCATTACTGATGGAAATAAAACATAATGGCGTAGTCACATATTCAAAATTTACGTTGGAAAGCTTGACCGAATTCGAACTTTACTCATATGAATTGAAATTATCATAACACTTTCGGTCGGGTATTTGCTTATTATTAAGAGGTAAACTGACAGTAGAATGCTTCAGATAGTCAACGTCCTACTAATTACAAGATGATATGTTTAGTAAAAGTGAACACAGGTTTCAACTCATCAAAAGGAGAAGGATCAAGATGAAATGAATACTGCTTACGAAGGATTAGCTTCTCGATACACCCAAACTAGTAACATCCTATAATAAAAGCCATGGGTCATCTAGTACCTCCTTGGTAATCCTGTTGGTAAATCAGTCGAAGCATTAAATGTGTGGTAAAGAAAATAATGATATGATTTTCATTTCTGATTAACATTCTAAAGCTTTCTTCACTGAAATTAGGGTGGCATCATAATGTTTTTCTATTATTATATTATTATTATTATTAGTCCCTTGGGTTCCTAGTGGAACATAGGGCTTCAGTAGCACGCCTCCAGTGACCTCTGTTCTCTGAGATCTTTTGAACCTGGTCCCACGACAGCCCAGAAGCTCTCATTTCCTGCTCGCGCGACCTCCTCCATGTCACCCTCGGACGTCCAACTCGTCGCTTCCCATGGGGATTCCACTCGAGGGCCTGACGCGTGATGTCCTCAGTCGGCCTTCTCAGTGCATGGCCAATCCATCTCCACTTCTTCCTGCATATTTGTTGCGTGATAGGTTCTTGGTTGGTTCGTTCCCAGAGTTCCTTGTTGCTTATTTTTTCTGGCCATCTGATCTTCAGTATCGAGCCAGCGTAAGCAGTTGTTGATGAATGTCTGTAGTTTATTGGAAATCCCTTTCGTGACGCGCCAAGTCTCTGAGCCATACAAGAGCACTGACTTGACGTTGGTGTTGAAAATCCGTATCTTGTTCCGCATGCTGAGTGCAGAAGATCTCCACACTGGTTTCAGGCTAATGAATGCCTGTCTTGCTTTTCTAATGTTTTTCTGGATAATCTTAAAAAAATAAGTATACTAAAATGTTTACAGAAGTAAAGAAGATGAATAACACTCCAAGTGACTACAAGTGACAAGCAGATGGATGTAGAACACTAATTCGGATTACACATTTAATGACTACTATTTATTGATATACTTTGTAATTTTCCGTTGTTTAACTTGGCTGAATTATTCAACCTCAATTGGTATATGGGCACCTATTTCGATGGTCGATATAGCCTGAATATTAATTATGATAATTTATTTGATTGTGGCTAACAGAGGAATCCAAATAAGTTATCATTTGATGACATCACTGTCAACTGATTACCAGTACGAGAGTATGAATTACTGACTAATATTAATAATGACAAAATCAAACGAAATTTCCTATGGGTTTGGCATGTGGTTGTAATGGATAGATAAACAAATTGCTCATGTCTGTGGAGTTTAAGGGAAATAAATTGTTCACGGACGACAGTTAGTTGATGAAGCGTATTAAGTTTTCATGTTTTATGAAGTAAAAGGCAAAATATGAGACTACAACAATATAATGATAATTATGTCAGTTATAGCAGTACAAAAAGAAATGATAAATGTACTTTTCTAGTTTTTTTGGGAAATAAAAGCGTTGTAACCGTATCCAGATTAAAGACTGAGGTTGAAGAAGATGAGAGCACTGACGACTTATCTTTTTCATGTACACGTTAGGTCACGAATTTTAAACAGACTTTCTTCCTGATGTGGTCAGTGGGTTGAGGTGTACAGAGTAGTAAAACCGCATTAGAACTGTAAATAGAATGGTAAAAAGTGAAGTTTTATGACCGTTGTGCTGTGTATTTACCAAGAGAGTAAGTTTCGATCTTTAATAAACATTCCACTTCATTTACCCAACTAGGCTGGACACTAAGGCGTGTTGGCATTTACTCTCAATTTATCTATACGAAAGAAGCTAAATTTACAAATATACATATAAGCCAATAGGCTCAGCAGATTATCTTTCGAGCACACTCACTGCTTACAGCTAGTAGTATACTTCACACGTAGTAACGTGTCAGAGAAAATTTTGACCATTAGTCTCCTCAGATTCAATATTACTGTTTATACAGCTGCGTCTCTTTTGAACTCTTATTTCCGATACAATCATTTCACTTTGGTGCTAATTTCATTGTAACGATTATTACAAATGTATCAGGAACGACCATTTCTGCTTTTTCTTTATTCGATCACTTAAAGTGTTAATTGTATAAATATTCCTACCTTTAGAAATCTGGCTAAATAGATTCCCCTTAAGCTAAAAAGCACCAGCTCACCAAAAGCGTTTATTGACTGACCAGCCCACCACTTTTCGTAATAAAAATTGCAATTGATCGAATCATTCATTTTTTTATAGCTAAACATAGAGAAACGAATATAAGTGAAAAACTTGGGCACTGTGGTAGAATGTAGTTCCATATTAGATTTGTTTATTTGATATAAAGCGCACAGTGATACAGTATTATTTACTTGATTACGTTTCGAGCATAAATTATTGCTCATAATCATATCAATGTAATCACACTTCTTTCGACATCTGATTTTATAGTCCTGTCACCTGATCTCTCTTTGTTTTTTTGTTTTTTGATTGGTAGTAAAGTTTTCCATATCTCTGGTATAGGTGTTGCGTCATTCCTATTACATGTGTTGGGTGTGAAACGAAACACAAAACTCCTCCTCTGAATTTATAGGTGAGCCATATATCTGAGGGAATAGTATTTCGTGTTTCAGGAAGGTGGTTGGCATGGATTTCATTACTTTAGAGGAAAAATATATTAGCCACTTATTTGTAGCAGGAAGATAATTTTTTATTAACATTTAGACTGATTCGTTCCCAAAACGTTTGGTTTTATAAAAAAATTATAAACAGTCAGACCACTAATATCCTGCAAGAAATTGAACGCTGAGTCTGGTTTCATCATTATGAGAATATATTTAGTATGCTTCTTGCGTGTTTAGAAAATCAAAACAAGATGTTTCCAAACGTTTGGTTATGTAAGCCACAGTTAGTTCAGCAAAATATATGGACTTTTATTCACTTATGCGTAGTTTTGACATATCCAGAATGCCTTCAACAAGGCTAGAATGGACTTCAGTTATGGAACCAGTTTTATGGCTTATACTGAAAGAAGGAGCACATGGAGTATGTTATAAAGTTGGAACTATCATAGCAAATCAGAAGCACGTTGCTTCTAACCTAACACAATCAGAACCGGTTGCTTTGAAAACTTTAATATCCGACAAATCAATAATCATGACGAAAGCAGACAGAGGCAATTTCATGATCATGTTGAATAAAAAAATTATGACAAAAAAGCATCGGAGCATTTGGAAACCGGAATTCGTGAATTTATCCTAAGCATTAAATGAAACGAAAGCTGAAAAATGTAAATTACTTA